AAAAGTACAATTTACAATTTCAAATACCCAAAATACTCGTTGTTTTGCCAAAAATATTTGCATGAAAGGCAAAACCAAAATTATTAACTGAATATAAAAAAGTTTTAATGAGATGGCTTGGGTCTCTTTCAGTTTAACCAGTGGTCTCGAGTTTGAGCCCTGTGAATGCAGCAGTGTTAAAACTCTTGAGGGATAACTTTGCCGCCCTTGTGGTCCTACTCAGCTCGATTCCGGATTAGTCGGTTCCCATGTGGATCCGAAAACCGAAATGTCTCTGTACCAAAAAAAAAGTTTTAATTGCCACTATTTTACATCCATTAATGCTAATCTTACACACATTATTTGTTTTAGTTAACTAAAAATATTGGTGATTGAATTTTTTTAATTTGAAATAAATTATTTATTTCATTGAACATTGTAAACCTTCGCAATGTCTTTGGCCGTTACATTTGGTCAATTACCAAACTAGAACTCAATAAAAAAAATTATTAGAATGTCAATAGCATCTTATCAATCACCAAACTAAGGATATAAGTCAACAATTGGCATATTTCATGGCTTGGGGGTCAACAAACACATGCAAATCTTGAAATCACACAATAATATTGAGGGATTGATTGTTTATGAATTATTTCACTCACTTTTATTTCATTTTAAAATCTAACTCAATTTTAACTTAATTACACTATCTTTAATATTATTCATATAATTAAATAATACAAACCATTCATTCTTACACATCAAATCAACTTTAATTCACTATTCATCCACTCACATAATTTTAACTACCTATCATTTTTAAATTATTTCAATCATTTATCTCTTATGTTTACATCAAATCAACTTTAATCATTTTATTTTAATATTATTTTAATATATTCTTAAAATTTCACTAACAACTAACCATACTACTTTTATTAGAATTAGCTACAGTTAACCAAAATAATTCATTTGAACAAATTATTTCATAAACAATCAAGCTCTAAATTTGCAAGTGATGTGATGATTAACGTGCAGGTTATAAATGATTAATATATTAGATACCAATTTCATTTTTTTTTTAAGTTTCTTTATTATTTAATAGTTCCATACGAGATTGAGTTTTTTTTTTTTCTTTTTATATATACTTCCAAACTCAAATGTCATACCTGAAATGAATATAAAAAAATGTAAATAAAAAATATAACATTTGATAGCATTAATATGCATTCTTGATAAAATAAAATATTACGGGTCAATCCACCAAACAATTAGACTGTTTCACACAAGAATTTGTGTTACCCAAATACATAATTAATATGTGAAGCGACCATACTGTTAGATGAGTCGATCGATCATACTTTGCATACATAATATGTTCAAAATATTATATATTTTTTTGTTTATTTATTCAAATTTATTAATTAGTATTCAAAACTAATTAATAAACTACAAACATTCAAAGAGGATCTGGCTTTCTTTGAAGGCTTAGAGAATGTTCCGTATGAGGCAATTCGGATCATTTGTTTCCATTGTATTGTGTAGTCTTTGTGCATAGGGAGGCGAAAAAAGGCTCAGATCACTGGAAAGAGCTGTCCTAAGGAGAGTGTTCGATTTTTTCAATAAAGCCGACTTCTTTTTTTTTTTTTTTACGATACCATGATTATAATCAAATATAGTATTAATATGATCAGGAATATATATGTCCTCAAAAAGATTGTCTCTATGACACATATATCAACACAACATAAGTTTAGGACTTGATGAAATATTTTGACATCCTAAAACTTATGCTACTTCTCTAGCTGGTAGAATGTTTAAGAGTTTTTTTCTTTTATGATCGCCACCAACTCTAAATTCCGAACCGCCTTTATCGAGAGATCGAATCGAGGCCATAATTCGTCACGTACTCGATAAAAATATAATCTACTACAACACTACTTATATTATCAAATAAGACCACAAGTGCAATTTAGCCCATTATAATGTGAATGTAATGGCATGATTGGTATAATGGAATGAACTTTCGTAGAAATGAAATTAATTGAAGAATAGAATGATTATGGAATGGAATGAAATATTCGTAGGAATGGAATGTAATGACATGATTGTCATTGATGCTTTTGATATGCAGAAGGATTATGACTTGAATGAAATGACATTATGATTTTTTATTAAAAAATAAATAAAAGCTTTTTTTAAAAATAATATATTTTAATGAATTATATATAAATACTTCTTTAATACTATATAAAAATAAAATAATATATTTTTTAATAATTTAAAAAATTCTCAAAGTTAATATATTTTTAATGTATAAAAATAATATATTTTTAATAATATATAAAAATAAAAAGTAATATATTTTTAATAATATATATTTTTATTTTTTAATTAAGCAATAAATAAAAGTAAGTTTTCAATTTTTTTTATTTGAATTTTATTTTTTAAATAATATATTTTTAATAATATATAAAAATAAAAAGTAATATATTTTTAATATTTTTTAAATAATTAAAAAAATAATTACCAAACTATAACTTATTAAAAAAAATAATTAAAAAGTCAATAGCATCTTATCAATCACCAAATTAAACACTAAACAAAAGATATAAGTCAATAATTAGCATATTTCATGGCTTGGGGTCAACAAACACATGCATCCTCTTATCTTTCTTATTTCCCTTAAACTTATTTGTAATCTTAAATACTAACTATTAATTATATTATAAATGCAACACAGTCAACATGCAAATCTTGAAATCACACAAGAATATTGAATTTGCTATTGATGTGATGATCAACGTGCTAATCAGAAATGATTAATATATTAGATACCAATTTCATTTTTTTCTTTTTTTTTTTAGTTTCTTTATTATTTAACAGTTCCACACAATAAGATTGAGTTTTTTTTTTAATATATATACTTCCAAACTAAAATATCTACCCTAAAATAAATATAAAAAGAATATAAATAAAATACGACATTTTATAGCATTAATATGCATTTTTTGTTAAAATAAAATTCTACGAGTCAATTCACTCAACCAATAGATTGCTTCATACAAGAATTTGTGTTATCCAGATACACAATTTTTGTGTGAGACAGTCAAACCGTTCAACAAATAGATTGCTTCATACAAGAATTTGTGTTATCCAAATACATAATTCTTGTGTGAGACGGTCAAACCGTTAGACGATTCGATTCATCATATTTTTCACCACAAATGCATACATATACTACGAGATATTATATTTTCGTTTATATTATTTTTCACTCCACAATTATCACAGGGCAAACAACATCTAACAAATCAAGACCAATTTTTGTCACCCTTTTTATGGTCATGCATGGATCATGCCCCCTTATTCTCCTTTTTTTCTCTTTCATCCCCTTAAAAGTCGCAAGCATTGGAATTTACTTCTTCACCATTTTTCTCTTACCCCCACCAAATCAATGCTACAGAGCACAAAAAAAAAAAAAAAAAAAAATGCCGTTAACAGTCAAAGGTCCAATTTTTATCACCCCTTTATGAAGCGCGAGCAGTCCAAAAGGTGACTCGCTCAATCCCTTTTGCTTTTCCAATTATAGCAACATTTTTCATTGTTTTTTAATGATGGTTATTATTGAATCTTAATTTGCAGCTCATTCTTTAGTATGTTGGGATTAAGAAAAAAAATTCTTTCTTTAGCTGTTCTTTGGTGCTACGCACGTTGCCCGCACTGAGAAAATTCCTCTTTTATTCTTCGTTCTCATCAGAAATTTCTTCTGGGTTTTGCGCCGTTCTTCATAACCGACCTTTTCTTTTATGGATTTTTTTTTTTTTTTCTTGAATTGAGGTTGGGGAGTGATTAGATTGGATCAATCTTGTATATTTTATAGTGGGCTCGTGGAGTATCATCTATCCTCGTACAAAATACGAGGTAGTTTAATTATCATGGCTTGTTTCATTGTTTTCTGTTATCATCTTCACATTTGTGGATATCGTTGTGGGATTTATTGCAAAATTTGATGATGAAATCACGTGTAATAGAAGGGCCCTTTTGTTTTTCTGAGTCTGGTGGTGTGTTTGAACGCTTCAAGATTGAAACTTGGTTGATAATCTGTGAGAATTGGCGTTCAATTTTGTTAAATGGTGCCGATTTAATCGAACTTATAATGTTTGGGGTCGTTACATTATTTTTTTGATGTGCCCAGAGGGTTGGTTCATTTGTTTGAGCGTGATAACTTATTGTCATTTTTTTCTCCATCTGTGCAAGAGAGGTTGAGTTTTTAGATGCCTTTTTTTAATCATGTTTGCTCAAGATGAATGGAAACTGTTTCAACTAAAAGTGGGTTCTGTTGGAATATCACTTGTGAGTTGTCCCACATTGATTCTATAGGGAAAATGAGTCTAGTTTATAAGCTTAGTGGACTACTCCTCCTATCACGAATTGGTTTTGGGATGGCCTCACTGAGGTGCATCTAGGCTCACCCTCTTATGGTGCGCTTCATCTGGTGGGACCGCACTCTCTTCCCCCGGTTCTAATAGGTTCTTTGCTCAAAGTTTCCAACTTAAGGTGGCACTTTCAGCCGGGGTATGTTTTTTTATGTAAATTTGAAGTGCCGAAGAAATTAGGAGGAGGTAGTACTTTGGGCTATATACAAAGTACTGTTGATGGGGGATGGAGAATGCAATTCTTAAACAGAATTTCAGAGGATGTTTTTTTCGACGTGATTAATAAGCACTTTATGATTGAAATAGAGCGCTTTTTACTTTCATTATCGATTTTAGGATTAGCATATGGAAATGTTATCCTATATGAGGAGTTACAGTAGCATTTTATGTGGTTTATGTCTTAAAAGTTGATTACTCTTTGCAAGGCCTGACTGTTATGTTCATTTGAACTTTCTCACTGTTATAGTTCTATTGGTTATTTTACTATTTCAAGTTTGTCTTAATGAATGTTGGACCTTTCTCGTCATTTATTAGATTAACTTCCGGAGTAAACAGTTTTTTTAGAGAACTCGGGAAAGTATTATGTCTGTTTCGTTGAGGGATTTGGATCCAGCTTTCCAAGGAGCTGGACAGAAGGCGTATCCTATTTTTCAATTAATTTTCTCTGTGCCATTACAAAGTTGCAATTATAATGCTCGTGTTATTATGCCTTCTCGTTTCTTTTAACAAAGCGAAATTCTCATGGAAATATTCTGTAGATTACTTAGATTGTACACATATTTTGGCCTCCTTAACTTTATATAGTGGAATCGAGATATGGAGAATTCAAAATTTTAGTCCTGTTCTTGTTCCAAAGTCTTCACATGGAAAATTCTTCACTGGAGATTCTTACATCATTCTAAAGGTAATATTTGAGTTCCTTTTTTTTATCGAAATGTCTTGGCATCTCTAATGATAATATGGACCACTCGAGACTCAATTTCAATGAGAATTGCAGTTTAGATTTTTATTAGTCCTTTTTCTTGCACTTAACCTGTCACTATGTACTATTTCAATGAACTTCTTTTGAGAAATTTTGTTTCAGTATAAAGATAATTTTCGGTTCTGCAGACCACTGCCTTGAAAAATGGTGCTCTCAATCACGACATTCACTATTGGCTAGGGAAAGATACCAGTCAGGTAAATTAAATTCTTTTATGTTACTATTTGAACTTAAAATATTTAAATTATTTATGTTAATATATACACATTTGTATTTTTTAGGATGAAGCTGGTTCTGCAGCAATTAAAACAGTCGAATTAGACGCGGCACTCGGCAGCCGAGCTGTGCAATATCGTGAAGTACAAGGCCATGAATCCGAGAGGTTCCTTTCTTATTTCAAGCCGTGCATAATACCTCAAGAAGGAGGAGTTGCCTCGGGATTCAAACACGTGGAGCCTGAGGAGCATCAAACTCGATTGTACGAGTGTAAAGGAAAACATGTTGTTAATGTGAAAGAGGCAAGCTTTTTTTTTTTTTTTTTCTAGTGTTTATTATAATTTATACTCTATGAAAACTTGATTTTTTACGATGAAAATATGCTTTCCACACTAGATGCTGTTGGTATTGTGTGCGAAACCAAGTTTTTTTCGAACACATTGACTTATTTTTCTCTATTTTTGTTTCTATTTCCCATTTTTCATGGTTTTTATTTTTTTTAAAAAAAAAAATCTTAGAACTTTTAATTCAAAACTTGATTTTTACGACTGTTTTTGAAACAGGTGCCTTTTGCCCGATCGTTGCTAAATCATGACGACGTATTTATTCTCGATACGAAATCGAAAATCTTCCAATTCAATGGTTCGAACGCGTGTATTCAAGAGAGGGCTAAAGCTCTGGAAGTTGTTCAGTACATTAAAGATACTTATCATGATGGAAAATGTGATATTGCCACTATTGGTAATTAACTGTGTAGTAGTAAAGTTCCCATCTTTCTTATTTCTTTTTTTTGGATATTAAATTTCTAAGTGAAGTATCCTCTAATTTTTTTTTACTGCAGATGATGGAAAACTAATGGCCGATGCCGATACTGGAGAATTTTGGGGGTTCTTTGGTGGCTTTGCTCCACTTCCCAAGAAAACAAATGCCGATAAACCGAACGGCACGAATAATGATGCTACCTCTAAGCTTTTCTGGTAATTTTTTTTTTTTTAATTTTCTGACTTGATGAAGTGACAATGTTCTTAGTTCTGACAGCTGTTTTTTAATGATAGTATCGAAAAGGGCGAGGCAGTACCTTTTGAAACTGAATCTTGGACAAGAGATTTATTAGAAACGAATAAATGCTACATTCTCGATTCGGGTTTAGATGTATTTGTTTGGATGGGGAGAGGTACTTCTGTTGAGGAAAGGAAAGCTGCAAGCAGAACAGTTGATGTAAGTTTTTTGCTTGTTTTCCCTGATATGGAATTTACTTCGTCAGTAAAAAATAACACTCAAATGCTCGTGCTTTCATTTTTTTAACAGGAATTACTGTGTAGCATGAATAGAACTAATTCTCGTATAATCCGTATGGTCGAGGGGTTTGAGATCGTGACTTTCCGCACGTATTTCGAGTCGTGGCCTAAATCGGCCAATGTGGCTGTGTCTACTGATGGGAGAGGGAAAGTTGCAGGTCAGTATTAAAATGTGGCAGATTATATTTCTTGTATTTCAATTTAAATAGTTAATCGATATATCATTTTTTGTTTAAAATTCTTTGTAGCACTATTGAAGCGTCAAGGACTTAATGTGAAGGGTTTGAAGGAAGAACCTCCCAGAGAAGAACCTCAACCATATATAGACTGCTCAGGCGATTTACAGGTTAATTTTTGAAGAAACTACTATAGCTTTTTTAAATGTGCATAGTTTGTAAGGAGGTGAAAATAATATTCCTGAGAGGATTTGATTGCATTTAGGATTTCATTTGTTGTATTTTGCATTAGTTCGAAAAAACCGAGAGATCAAAAACTTACAGTGGAATTAATTCTAATTGCATTTTCCGGTTCTCGACGAATACCGATAGGTTTGGCGTGTAAATGACCGAGAAAAAATACTCCTTCAAGATTCAGATCAGAATAAGTTTTACAGTGGAGATTGCTATATTTTTCAATATTCATATTCTGGTGGAGAAAGAGAAGAATATCTTATAGGGACATGGTTCGGAAAGCAAAGTGTTGAGGTAAAACGTTGATCTTCATTCCTTCGATTTATTTTTGTACACATGGCAAAATACATCATTTCAAACTATCTTTGAAGAATTTTTCACCCAATTATACTAATAATAGTCGAAAAATTCTTCACCTGAATTATTAGTTATGCACTTTTCTATTTTGTACAGGAAGATAGAGTGACAGCAAGTTCGCTAGCTAGCAAGATGGTTGAAGCTCTGAAGTTTTTGCCCACTTGGGTATCATTATCATGCCTTCACCATTTTCTTTTTTTATAAAGAAAGTCTTAATGTTAAGTTTTATTGATCGTTCATTTTAAACTGGACATTTATTTATAGGCTCGCATTTACGAAGGACACGAACCAATCCAGTTCTTCGCCGTTTTGCAGAGCTTCATTGTCTTCAAGGTCTGGAGTAGACAACAAATCTGAATATATATATATATATATATATTATTTAAATATATAAACTCATCTTTCTGTCTTTTTTTTATCCATCATATGTATTTTTATTTTTTCCGTATTATTTTCATATTTACAGGGAGGTTTAAGTAATGGGTACAAGAATTACATAGCTGAAAAGGAGCTTCCAGATGATACTTATACAGAGGACGGGCTTGCAATTTTCCGAATTCAAGGGACCGGACCTGAAAATATGCAAGCAATTCAAGTTGAACCTGTAAGGCCTATGCTCGAGTTCTTCTAATAAACTGATATGTAAATTCCTTACGCTTTTTTTCGCCTTATTGGCCATAGTTTACGTTACATGAATAAAGATCACTCTTTGCTACACTAGTTTTTTTTTTATCTATAGAGATGGCCTTGCATCATATATTTTCCGAATACACACTTTTGCAGTTTCTTGTTTTTTGTATATGATTTTTTTTTTTTTTATTAATTCAGGTAGCCTCATCCTTGAATTCATACTATTGTTACATACTACACAGTGGATCTTCTGTCTTCAACTGGTCAGGAAATCTTACAACATCAGAAGATCAAGAACTTGTCGAGAGGCAGCTCGATGTAATAAAGGTAACTGTGTTACTTACAAAAAATATGGTTTCTTTTTTTAATTTTTCATCTACAAGTTTTTTTCAGCTGGTCATATACTATTTCATGAGCATTTTACACAATTCGATAATATTATTGTACTTTATTTTCTGCAGCCAAACATGCAGTCGAAATTTCAAAAAGAAGGCGCAGAATGTGAGCAGTTTTGGGATTTGTTAGGTGGAAAGACCGAGTACTCGAGCGAGAAAATTTCGAGAGAGGCCGAAAGCGATCCTCATTTGTTCTCGTGCACTCTATCCAAAGGTTTTTAAATCTTCTTTTATTCATTTATGTTTTCAAATTTTATTTTATTTGTATAAATGAGCTTATCTAACTTGTTTTCTCTCGTTTTTTTGTCAAACTGTTTTCCAGGAGATCTTAAGGTGTGTCTCTCATGCTTCTTTATCATTATCAGCTTTTATTTATTTAATTATTAAATTAAAATGATTGTTCTGTAAGATATCTGAGTATGATTATCATCCACAGGTCACAGAGGTGTACAATTACAACCAAGATGACTTAATGACTGAAGATATATTCATTCTCGATTGCCATTCGGACATTTATGTATGGGTTGGTCAACAGGTCGATTCGAAGAATAAGTTGAATGCATTAAATTTGGGGGAGGTATTATTATTCAACTTCACTTCATCTGAAGAAAAATTTTAACCAACTTTATCAATAGTCTTGCATTTGATACTTACTGCTACTTTCTTATCAAGTTTTTGTTTATGAATGATTTTAGTTACAATTATCTTCGACAGGAATTTCTGGAGCGCGATTTTCTTTTGTCGAAATTATCCAAGGAAGCACCAATATATGTTATTATGGAAGGGAACGAACCGGCATTTTTCACGCGTTTTTTCACTTGGGACCCCACCAAATCTTCAGTAAAGTGCTCGATTTTTTACACCTATAAGATGCTTCTTTCTTGGAAATGAGAGAAATCAGCAAAAAAACTTTTAAAATATTGTGATTTTTTTTTTTAAATTGCAACAGATTCATGGTAACTCTTTCGAAAGAAAACTTGCCGTTCTCAAACATGGAGGCACATCAATGTTGGATGTAAGTTGACTAATATTCTATTTGCCTCCTTTTTGGCTTCTTTTCCTTGCTATTGTCTCAATATAAATATGTTTTTATACGTTGTAGAAACCGAGAAGGCGACCTGTGATATTTAGCGGGAGATCGGCCGCGCCTGAAAAATCCCAACGTTCGAGAAGCGTAACATTTAGCCCCGAACGAGCTCGTGTGAGAGGAAGATCTCCTGCTTTCAACGCTCTAGCCTCGACTTTTGAGAACCCAAACTCGAGAAACTTGTCGACTCCTCCTCCAATGGTGAAAAAGCTTTACCCAAGATCGAGTTCGCCGGATTCCGTAAACCCACCTTCGAAATCGGCTGCCATAGCCGCACTAAGTGTTGGCTTTCAACAGCCGGGCCCCGCCAGGCAATTCGTCATCCCTCGTTCTATTAGAGGTATATATATATGTATATTATATATATATATACTAACTATTTCACGTTTTCTGGTTAAAGGTATAGGTTGTGTTTGGTAAGCATATAAGCTAGCTTATAACTTTTGGTTAGCTTATAAGCTTCCTATACTCAAATAAGTTTGGATGGGTAGGTCGAGGTTTTTAAAAAAGCTCGAGCTTATCTCTGATAAGCTTCCTTGGATAGCTTTTTACATAAGCCCATTGAAATTTTTATTTCAGCTAGCTTATCAGCTCATTTTACTAGACATTTTTATCATATAAGCTAACTTATAGCTTTTAAGTGAATTTCAAAACTTATAGTTGATAGCTTTTGACTTATTAGCTGATAACTTATGACTTATGTCTGAAAAGCAGCTTATAACTTCTATGATAAAAGTGTTTGGTAAAATTAGTTTATATGACAAGTGTTTGGAAAAATTAGTTTTTCAGCCGTAAGTAAAAAAATATCAAATATAAGTTCGAAATTCACTTAAAAACTATAAGTTAGCTTATCAGTTACGTTTACCAAAAAATAGCCATAGTTGCAATGAGTAGATGAAAGATTGTGAATTTTTAGTACTTCGAGTTCTTTCTAACTTTCCTTCCGTTTTCCTCATAAAGCGGGCAATGAGGTACCGAAACCAAGATTCGAGGGGAAAATGTCTCGTGAAAACTCGGTGGAGCAATTGAAATCCATGCCGGAGACCATACAAGAAGACATGAAGGAAGATGAAGTTGAAGATGACGAAGGACTTCCGATATATCCATTTGAACGCCTCATCACATCATCAACCGATCCCATTGAGGATATTGATGTGACTAAGCGAGAGGTAAAAATGCACTTTCTTTCGAGCCGTTAATGATTATTTTACCTCATGAGATGAGAATTTTTCTGACGTGCTATTATTGTGTAGACTTATTTGTCCGTGGATGAGTTTAAAGAGAAATTTGGGATGACTAAGAGTGCTTTCAACAAGCTACCCAAATGGAAGCAGAATAAGATGAAAATTTCGCTTCAATTGTTCTAAGCATGCTCGGCAAATTCGTACGCCCTTTTTTTTTTTTGTGTTAGTTCCCATAGTTAACAAAATCCAATCACTTCATTTTTTAGCTGCTTTTGCTCGTCGGCTGTTATTTTCCTCCATTGAAACCGGCAGACGAATCAGAGATTAGTGTTTGTTGAATCTTCTTTTCTGGCAAGCTAGTTTGTTATTATTTTTTGGTCCTGTTTTACTGTAAGCTTGCAATTTTGTCTTCTCTGCGAACTTATTAACTTATTTGTACGAGTAATATACAAAAGATTTTGCAGGAGCAGAGTTTTTTATGCTGCATAGAAGGGAAGTAATGTACAGGAAATGTAGAATCAGTGCAGTCAATTTTTTGAATTTGATTAGCCAATAAATAGGTGCAGAATTTGAATTTTTGTGTACAACTATTTGTTGTTTGATGATTATATTATTCTGAGTTGGCTAGTTAATTCTGGTAGAAAAATATAACCTGAAATTATTGTTGTGATCGAACTGAATGAGTTGAGTTCAACTATTTCGAGCTTGTTTTTTATTATGTGCGAACATTGTTCGTGTTCCTCAGTTTTCTTTTTTGAGCAAAAAAAATCATGTTCAAGATTGTCAGTTTGGTTGTTTGTCGAAGTTCAAGTTCATTCGTGTTTGATTTATTTAAAGATTTGACCAATCAAATTCGTTAATTAAGTTGTTTTGTAAACAGATCACCTCAAAATAATAATAAAGATATAAAAGGAAAACTCACAGTAACAGTAACAGATCTTTGAAACTTTCTTTCTTTATCAGCAGAACCTCAGAGAATTTATATTTATTTGATAGGGACAAAAAAATAAGTCTCCATTTAGAATCTCTCCCCAAACCTGAAGAACATAGTGCCAGTCCTCGAGTTATGATCAACTGCATACTCAGCTCTCACTAACCCTAACTTGACTCCCACACCATAAGACGAGCCGTGGCCCATTCTTCTGTACACCTGAGTCGGGTTTCCTTTGACATCTTTTGAACTCCCCAAATCATTTCCATGCTCGGCAAAGATATACGTGTGGGTGCTTTTCACGGGTATCCGAAGCTCAGCAGCCACCTAAGGATGCAAAAAAAAAAAGTTTTTTTATTCGATGCTAACTGTTATGAGTCGAGAGAGAAAATATGTGAAGAGAAAAAAATGATGCATTTGATCCCTGGTAAAACAGCAGAGATGATTAACAGCTCCCTTTGAAATTGTAAAAGTAATATACAGTCGGCCTCATAATTTGACACTGAATCGAAACCTTAGGGGTGTTTTTTGTCATTTTGAAAGTTTGCTGGTGTTTATGTAATATGGTGAAATTTCAACAGTATTTTTTTTTTTTGTAAAAATCTCTAACGATGATATAACTAATAGTAATGGCCCTCTGAACTCTGATTCTACTGTTAGCATACTCAAGTAAAATACTTCTAAATACAAACCTCAAGTGGTTGTTTTATGTTGTAACGCTTTAAGAGTGTGTTTGGTAAGCACCATAAGCTAGCTTATAGCTTATTTCAAATAAGGTATAAGCTTATAAGTTTCCTATACCCAAATAAGTTTGGTTTGGCAGGACGAGCCTTTTTAAAAAGCTCGAGCTTATCTAATAAGCTTCATTGGGCAGCTTTTCAAATAAGCTCGTTGATATTTTTATTTCCATCTAATTTTAACAAACACTTATAGCATATAAACTAAGTTTTCATTTTTCAGATATAATATAGCTTGAAATTCTCTTATAAGCTATAAGCTAACTTATCGGCTAGCAGCTAGGTTCACCAAATAGCAGCCTAAGAGGGTACTTGTAATTACAATTTACAAAAGTTAAGTGGCGGTAAAAACTCGGGTTCAGGAATTGTTGTTAAAATGGAAATTACGCAGAATTCTTATTGCAGATTACACACGCACGCATGCACACACACAAAAAAAAAAAAGTGTGTTTTTTGTCTTACATCAATTATGTATGGTAAAAAAATTTAAAATATAAGATAACAAAATTCATTACATACCTCAAGTATATTTCTTGCAGCTCCCAATTCTCCCATGTTATAACCTCGCACCGAATAAGGTCCCCCCAACGTAAATGCATCATAACTGGGAAGATCACCAACACAGCCACCATAATGGCCATGGAGGACCAAAACTGGTGGTGGTGGCTTTCCAGCGCCTTCTTCTACTTGCTTCAGTTGTACAAACCGGGTTAATGATAACTGATGACGGTTAAAGATCGGAAATTTGCTGCCAATTCCAAGCCCTTGGTCAAGCTGCAAAGAAGTCATAAAGAAAGAGACAAAATGGAAAGGAAGAAAGAAAATTAGTCCATTAAACAGAAGCAATAACAATTTGACATTTCATGAGATACCATGAATCCAATCGTTTAAGATCCTATTTCTTTCTTTCGTCTATGATTGATCTTTCCACTTTACTTCAACAACTCATCTCTTTAACTTCTTTTTTCTGTTTACTTGCCTAAATTTCATCAATCTTCATTAAATAAAAAATAAATAAATAAATCAATTATCAGTTTATATTTGTCATAACTCCACCGTTTACCAAATAATATCTTATAATTACACTCATCAACATATCAAGTGATTGATTGCGAATCACCCTTTCACCACTCGGACTTTCCCTACTCGAGCAATTCCATTCACATTCTGCTTCCATAAGTCATACTAAAATGCTAACTTATAATCTATAAAGGATTAAAAATAATTTCACAAATTGCAATCGACTATACACAGTTTAATGAAGCACTTATTCGGATGAGATTTCCTACTTTTTTTCCACTATTTGCTGATTCATTTTAAATTTAGGACTGGCATGCTCAGTCAATTTCTCATATCAATTGTAATTTGTAAGTATAAGGTAAAGAAAGAATATCATGAATCTTTCATAATGGTGTGATCTTAAAGATTAGAGTATTGCGGAAGTGTAAGATACACTGATGCTTCTCACCTGGAACACATTTCTCTCACCAACAATAGCCCCATTTACAAATTTGGTGTTGTCACGAGTGATATTAGCCTGCACAAATGCCATTTGGTCAACCCCGGTCCCACTGAGTGTTGTGGGAGGTCCATCTGCACTCACTCCACCACTTGGTAACACCCTTTGACCATTTGCAGAGATGTGGCTGGTCTCATCACGTGTTGTTATCTCCTCCATCACAACTCCATACGTAAATTTGCTTTGACGCGTGAAATTCTGCAAGAACGTAACTTAATATTATTTCGTAAGGCATTTGAGTTCAATCTTCGGCATACTCAGGTCAGGTATGATAAAATATATCAGTAAAATACAACAAGATCAAGAAAGAAATGCATACCTCCATAATGTTGGCTTTAACTCCGGCTCGATCAACCCATATAGGAGGAACTTCTTCTATTCCAGGTCCACCAGTGAAGACTGGGCTCAGCTTTCTACTATTAAAGCAGCTAACACGAAAAGTACGGTTGCGAGGATTGTGTACTCCATCTAGGTACGGATGGACATATTCCATCTTGAAAGAAAGGTCATCCTATATACAGATATTGCAGATATATGTTAATGCTACACAAAAAATTGCACTTCATTCTGGAAAAGAAGCTTGAATAAAAAGTATTCACCTGTGGGTTAAGGAAGTTGCTAGTAGTCACTGAACCATGAAGTGACCTATTCAAACCGTTAATATTACGATGCTCAAAAGAAACAGTCCCACCTGGTTGGATAGAAGCCTGAGCAGTGATTTGACAAGTAAATAACACTTAATGACCATATTAAAAAAGAACTTAAAATAAAAACCACAAAATAGCTCATGTTACTCACCAGTGTTGGACGGCCTCCTCGGCCTGGAACGATACTCCAATCTGTGTTAACTTCAGCAGACTTCTGCTCCAATTCTTTAAGCTTGACTTCAACAATAATGCCTCCCTCATTCTGCTCATCTTGGCGAGGGTTTACCTCAATGTTCGAGAAGAGAGCTAAAGAATTTAAATTCCTTAGTGCTTTCCTCCCATCATCCATATTGAAAACTCGTCCTTGGCGAAGCTGTACGCAATGACAAAATTATACCAACCCTTAAATAGTAGTAAATAAATTCAATCACACACATAAACATTACAAAAAACAAAGTGACTGGTATATATAATGACCAACTGACCATGTAATCGAATTTAAGGGCTTCAAACTAACCCAAAAAAAAAAACATTTTTTTTTTTGGCAAAAAAAAGAAAGGGACATTCATGTTGAATATTATCCCATGTAGATTCATTATTCTATTACATCAACAGTTAATAACTGGCCGCAACATTATACAGACCATATATATATATATATATGATTATGGTGAACACTTAAATCGTGAAGTATGGTAAACGTCAATGAGAGGAGAACCACTACATCAATAATCTGCTACCATTCTGAATACTTATTAAAACAATCTAACAGTCATTAACACAACACCACACGTTGAAATCCATTTCATATCATAACTATAATTAGTGACTGCTCAAGGTCCAGTCAAGTTAACCTGCTTGGGCAATTCTCTCTTTATCACAGGGAACTGAGTATTCCCCTCGCAAACATTCCCAAGCTTATCATGGAACTGAACCACTAGCTGCGTGATATCACCTTCCACCACTTCACATACCACCTCATTCGTATTCAAATTCCCGAAATTCACAACTTGTGCACAGGCATACCCGTTTTCTTGATACCACTGCTGAACCTTATCCCTTATCTTCTGCAACAATCTCGCGCTCAACTTGAAATCATTCATCAACATCTGTTGTACCTCATTTTGCACAGACATTGGAAGCAAACAAGGCCTTGCCTTCTCAATCCTATTCAAGTACTCGTTCTGCTGGTCCATCATAAAATCCATTTGCTCCCTCTCAGTCATATCAGGGTCCATCTCAATAGGCTTGGGCTGTGGCATGAGCCCAACGTTAACACACCTGAATCTATTGGCCCCTTTCCAAGTGGACTCGCGGAATGGAATGGTTATACTGATGGTGCCATCTGGATTCGTCTTTGCTTCTAGATCAACTTGTTCAAACATTCCGCAAGTTGCTAGGGATTCTACCTCTTTCTGGAGCTGTGCTTTGGTGTAGATTCCTCCCGGTTGAAGGGACACCATCTCGAAGAAAGGATCTTCAGTACCTACAGTCGAGCCCCCCCGGCTATCCAGGAATAGGATATCCGAAACCTTATACTTCTTGAAACCGCTGAGTCTGCGCAGCTGAACAACTCTGTTGGCGGGAAGTCCATGGGAATCCCAGTCTTGTTGAGGGTCTTCGTCCTTTGCAACAGCCTCCGCCGAGAAGAACCGAAAGAACCCACCACCGCCCTCCCCACCATTACTTCCTCCTCCACCGCCGCCGCCTCCTCCACCACCGCCGCCCCCTCCTCCGCCGCCGGTAGAGCCAAAGATAGAGTTTATGCCGGAGAATGCAGGTTTGGAAACGTGGAAAAGAATGCACGAGGCGGCGGAGGCGGCGATAGATTTGAGAGAAATTGCGGATTTGAGAGGAAATGTGGGAAATTTGGAGGTATTAGGGTTTTGGGAGGAGAAAGCGGTGGCAGGGGGTGGGAGATTACATCTGAAAACCGAAGAAGCGGGTGAAACGACGGCGTTTGCAGAGGGACGGCGGCGGCGCGTGGCCTGCGACGAGATGAGATGGCAGGAATGAGTCGGAGCAGTGAACGACGCCATTGGCGGAAGGGTTTAAGGTAAGAGTGATGAGTTTTTGTAAAAATGGTTTCTTTTTTGGTGTTAATACGAATTTTGACGTTGAACCATAGCAAGTAAAAAATAATATATTTTTAAATTAATAGAAACCATCAATTCACAACTACTCAACCACAGATAAATAAATAAAAGCACTTACATTACAAAAATTAAATCTAATAAAATATTTAGAAAAAGTTTGTACTATTTTTTCAAATTATATAAATTACTTAGTCATACATATTATTATTAATTCTAACGTTTAACTATAATGATTCAAAGAATTTTTAAATGATTTAAATAATACTACAAATATTTTGTAGTATTTATTTATTTATTTAAATTAAAAAATATAATAACCTTTACTTTTTCAATAATATTATTTTTCTTATCAAGTTGTTGTTGATTGTATTTTTTTATTTGATTATAAAATATGGTATTCTTTACTTACTATTTATAGGAGGTTGGTTTCATTATGAACTAACGGTTGGCTCTTTAACGAAGTCAGTCTCCTTTATATAGTAAGTAAAAAGTACTATCTCCTTTTTTAAATAAATGTCGTTTTGACTTTTTTGATTCATTCATTTTGCTATGTATCTAGACATTAATATGTCTAGATACATAGCAAAATGAATGAATCAAAAAAGTCTAAATGACATTTATTTAAAAAATGAGGGAGTATCATATTTCCTTATTAGATAAAAAAAAAAAAAAAAATGTACCATTTTCACTTCATTATTGGTGAAATTATAGGGATATTAATCTTATTATTCATATTATACTTTTCAAATTATTCAAACCTAAAATTACCTCTCTTTCTACCTACTCAATCAATAGGTTTTCTTGTAGTCTCCTAACGGTTAGGCAGTCAGTACTTTTTTCAACAAATACAAACTTTAACATTCAAATATCATATTTTAAATTACAAAATTAACAAAAGTATGAAATTTTATTGTATAATTGTATAAGTCTAGACAGTCTAACAGCAGCATTTGTGCTATCTCTTTATGAGTTATGGGTTCAAAGTTCCATTAATATGTCAAGAATAAATGATTTCCAATGGTAATGAGAAAGTTCACTCCATTTTGCACATTGGTAAGGAAACACAAATCTTGTATAAGGTGATTCTGACTCATCACACATTTTTAAACAAAAATGCATACTGATGCTATGAAATGTCATCCGTAAATTTTTGGATTACAATATTTCACTTTGTACGTGCGCCACGAACTCTCTAGCCATAGTACACATTGATGTGAACAGCTTGAGTCATTAAGTGAAGCTATTGACAGTGTGCTTTGTATCCAGCCAAACATGAAGAAGATAGCCACGAGTTTCGCGTGCTGAGTAATATATTACACTGAGGAGTTGATAAACAAGATGAACCGAGGAAGGTTTTCTAGAGCCAACGTGAAAATTGCACCGATTACAAATATCAGAAGAAAGGCAAGCAATATCTTCCCAATGTAGAGAATGCTGATAGCCGACTCGTTTTTCGTCACAGAACATTGATCATTGGTGGCCTGCAAAAGAATCATTGTAAACATTAGAAACTGAATGGTATTTTCACGAGCATAAAAGGCACACATTACATCCACAGGGAACAGAAGTGATTTATAGCGCAAAAAGGGTCTCCATTTTATGGGACGAAAAGTGATATTTTTCTCATATTCCCATCTCTGTCTCCATTCTCAAAGACCATAAACTATCAAAATACAAGAGTAAAAATGAGAAATAGATACTGTCTTTTAAAATTCATTCATAGGAAAATTGCTAATATCCCATCATATCACAACTGCAGTCAATAACTAAAAACGTAAATGTAGTCCTAATATCCAAAGTTTCTTTTAAAGAGTGAGTAACAGAATTCATTTGATTTTACGGAATTTTATTTTATTTTTTTTTTCGCTGAAAAAGAAGCCAAACATAGCTTTTACCAAAATATACTTCCATATGATATAAGCCATATAACTTATATGGATTGTGTCAATTACGCTAAGAATGACACTAGTGGCAACATAGAACAAGTTTGCAATAACAAAGTAAACAGGAAACCATTTCCTAAAAGTGAAAAACTTTGCGCACCGATATTAATTAAAAAATATCAACTATCGTCAGATTGCATGTACTACAAGGCTAGAACTATAAGGGAGTTCAATTTTTCATCAAAAGGAAAATAAAAGAGAGCATATTAAATACTATTACGGTGTGTAGCTTATACGTTATTATCATAACATCATCCTAATGGGAAAAAGAGGATCACACTTCTTCACGAAAACTGAACACAAGCTAAATTGTAGGTTGTTTCAAGATGTCATTACATAAAAAATCTAGGAAATCTCTATACACAAACATCGCATCGTTCTAAGGCTATATATTTGGTAAACCTAACTGATAAGCTAACTTATAGTTTTTTAGTGAATTTCGAGCTTATGGTTGACAGATTATGCCCGCTGAAACCTTATATGATAAAAGTGTTTGGTAAAATTAGCTGATAAGCTAACTAAAATAAAAATTCCAATGGGCTTATATGAAAAGCTACCGAAGGAAGCTTATGAAATAAGCTCGAGCTTTTTAAAAAAATTAGTCCTACCAAACCAAGCTTATTTGAATATAGGAAGCCTACAAGCTAGCTCATATGCTCACCAAACACAACCTAAACCGTCATAAACCACTCCGTATAAAACTCAATTTTTTACCAGCTTTCTTTCTCATAACAAGACTCTTACCATACTCATTGAAGAAACAGCATTCCATTTCAAATCCGATAGCTTAAAACCATTCCATATGTTTCCCCACACTATTTTCAGGCATATATTCCCTACTTAAGCATTATTTCACTTTATAACCAAATACAAAATACATAACAAGGGGCAAACGCCATACCTTAGCAGAAGCTTTCCGCAATCTTCTTGTGCCCATGTGGTCTGCAGAACATAAAAATTAAGTTAGCAACATCAATCATTTGTCTTTTATAAACAACAAAAATGAAACACCGGCAAACAAAATACCAAGAACTAGAAAAATTCATCCCAAATCTCTTTACGAACCCACATAACCTAAAGGGGTTGGCTTCAAATGCAAGACAATCACATTAGGAACTAAAAAACATATTATACTAATCCGAGATCCTTAAACATTAAAATTAAGAGAGTCCATTCACCCTTCGATTCAAGGGCGGTTCGCAACTTCCAATCGGGTCCATAATCGACTAGCACAGAACTATGGCCAAAACTAACAGGCTCTTCTTCAACTTCTCCTTCTTTAACAGCCTCGATGTGGGATGCCAGTAGAACATTCTCAACCCCATCGCTATCATTCATCAACTTCTTGTTTATCAAATTAACAGCAAAACCCGCTTCGGTTCCGATCGAAAAACGCCTGATTTTCCCAGAAGTCTTGCATAACACCTCGAGAAACTAGATAAAGTTCGAAAATTTAAAAGAGGGGTATACTTAATTTCAACTGGGACTATACAACAATAATCCCTAATATGAAATTTATTCAGAAATCAGTGTTCAACATCATTAAAGACAAGATTTTTAGGGTAAATCAATTGATGCTTACGGGTAGAGATTGGTGGGTTTGTTCGACTGCTGGATCTTCGTTCTTGTCAGCCATGGCGAGAAACTGAGAACCAAAGTGGAGATTCGAGGCAAAAATCTGCAAACAATTAAGTCGCTTCACATAAAATTTTGTGATTTATAATTCATCTAACTATTGCTTAAATAAGTGGATTAAATAAAATAAATAAGGCTTCTCAAGATTTATTAACTTCGGAGACCACAACTGGATTGTGGTTTTCTTTTAAGTTTTAAGTGATGTATTTTCCTAGGTCTTATTATGGTACAAACGAAAACGAGGCAGGTTGAGTTTGGTACAACTAATTAAACGAGCCGATAAACGAGTTAGAGTTTTGGCGGCCTATCAACATTAACAAATTGAAGTTAAATCTTAACGAGCTTTAATTGAGCTCATATCACACGAGTCGAGTCGAATCGAGTCGAGTCGAAGTGCTCGTTTCGTTTCAATGGTTTACCAACAAAGGCCCGCAATGTTATAGTTATGTAAACTCTTTCTTTGGGCCGGCCCAAAACCGTACCGGGCTTCATTGACTTCCACTCTTCACCAACGGTCATTAACTGCCATAACAAATAGGTACAGTCAAAACTCAAAATTATGACAGTAGGAACAAATATTGCGCGGCGATTCCCATTTTGGTCTATGGGCTATTGGGCTGGGGGCCCTGACCCAAAAGCCACAAAAAAGGTAAAACCGTACAATCATATTAACACGGGGTACACCACCACAGCTGGAGAATTTTTTTTTTTTAAAAAAAAAAAGTTAATGCCCCATCAATTATGGACATAATAATAATAATACAGCCAGCAGAAAATTAACAGCACATGGAAAAAGTTATCACAGGTCAACATAAAAATTAAAGACCAATAATCTGTTCAACCACGTGATCCTAAAATGAAAAAAAAAAAAAAAAGTTAGAATAAATTGAAATTGTTATAGCTTTATCCCTACTAGTTTTAAGAATTCAAGAATTGAGAACATATTACGAAATCATTTCGTTAGAGTTTGTAACTGTTAGATCAACTATTTCCGACAGTAGTATGATGATCTAACGATTACATGTCCCGACAAAATGATTCCGTAACGAGACTGTATCATCTCCCTAAAAATTATAGCATAGAAGATATATTTAGAGAGAAATTAGGTAAAAGAAAATATGTTATAAATTAATTAGGGAGTGTTTTATAAATTATATTGTCAAACTAACAATGGAAAAAAACATATTTTTTTTAATACAAAAATTTCACTGGATTTTGCTTACTTTATGTGCACGATCTGTACAGTCACACATTTTTCTTGAAATTAATATGCGTACTTTCAAAATGAAATATCATACTCTATAAATCAGCACAGCAAAAGTCGTTTCTCAAAAAAATCACACATTTTTCTTTTTTACTTTTCGAAAAATAATACGAGCCAATTCGTCTAACCGTTTAACCATAAAAGACAACAATTTATATTTCACAAAATCATTGCATTGTGCTTTATGTTGAGACAACAAAGTTTTATGTTAATAATAATTTGTGTCACTTAGGACAATATTAACTTTCACAAAAGAAATTACAATAGACCCCTACACTATATTACAATAGCCCCATTGACTTTCTTTTTCCTTTTTCTCATTGTATTAATTGAAAAGCAACACCCAAAATTGGCCAGGGTGAACAATAACAACACAGCCCCCATTTTTTATTTATTTATTTATTTTCCTTTTTTTCTTTTTGGTCCCTTTATCTAAATTATTTATATAAATACCACCCCACCATTTCCCCACAAGACTTCACACAACACAAGTGTACAAAGAAGAAAAAAAAAATACTCAAACTCAAAAAGGGGGGTAAAATGGGAAGACCACCTTGCTGTGACAAAATTGGAATCAAGAAAGGTCCATGGACTCCTGAGGAAGATATAATTTTAGTCTCATATATTCAGGAAAATGGGCCTGGAAATTGGAGAGCTGTGCCCACAAATACAGGTATAAAATAACCTTTGTTTTTCACAAATTATCGTGTGAGACAGTCTAATCATTAGGCAGACGAACTTGTATATGTGTATCAAATTGTTCATGAAGATTATTGATTTTCTTTTTCCTTTGTTTCTTTCATAACAATTATTTTGGTTAAGTTTCGATGTGGGATGTTTTTGAAGGCTTGTTGAGATGCAGCAAGAGTTGCAGGCTTAGATGGACCAATTACCTTAGGCCAGGGATCAAGAGAGGCAATTTCACCCCTCATGAAGAGGGCATGATAATCCATCTCCAAGCTTTACTAGGCAACAAGTATACGACGATAAATTGACGATAAATTCATGCGATCGTACGCATAATTTATGCGTTCGATCAGCGACTTATTTTATTTTATTATAATTTTTTTGACAGGTGGGCTGCAATAGCCACGTACTTGCCTCAACGTACGGACAACGATATCAAGAACTACTGGAACACGCACCTCAAGAAGAAGCTCAAGAAACTCCACCAACAACCGGGCAATTTCGTCACATCGTCCAACAACAACGACATGGGCCACCACGGTCCAGCAACCGACTACCACCGTTTCGCGTCGAGGCCCAACAATGAATTGAGCCACGGCCCGACATCGGCCTACGCCTCGAGCGCGGACAACATATCGAGGCTTCTAGAAGGATGGATGACGAGGTCTTCTTCGCCTCCCAAATCGAACAAAGTCGACAAGAATAATAGTGTTCATGTTGTTGCTAATGCTAACTATCCGAACGAAAATCGCGACGAATCATTATTATTCTATCGTGATCTCGGTAAAGTTATTCAGCAGGAAGAGATTGAAAATATTAATTTTGGCGAATTTCGTGATGATGATCATGATTTGGAGGGAATTTTGAATTTCGGTAGTAACCGTGAGAAATCGTCGTGCGATGATTCGAGCCGCATTAGCGGATTGATCGACGATCAAGAAAAGGCGAAAAACGAGCACGCGAATAACAATGACAATAATAATCCGCCGCTATCGTTTCTTGAGAAGTGGTTGTTGGATGAGAGTGCAGCTGGTCAAGTTGAAGGAGTCATGGAGTTATCATCAATCTTCTAATGGAGTTTCATTAATTTGATTGGAAATGTTGCTAAAATGATCAAAAGTTGATTTTTTTTT